TGTGGTCACACACGATGCAACCGCACACCGATCGCATACGAAATCGCGCCGCGAACCTGCACTGGGTGGGGTCAATGAATGAAACGATCGAAGACGAGACCTACGATCGAATTTCCTTCGTCGATTCCTTATTTTGTCCTCCGACACGAGACAGATACGTATATGCTCCGCGATCCCCTAACAAATCTAACATAACCTAGAACTCTACAGACTCGAAACTCTGAAAATTCATCGAAAATATTAGGTAAAATAAATTTTTTAAGTAAATTTCTTTAAAAGTTTTTCTGTTGCTTTTATCTGAATTTATCAAAAAATATGTATATTTTCATGTATTTTAAATTACGCAATGATTATTTCCAAAAAACAGTTAACATTCTAGTAATCTCGAATAATATAAATAAAAACAAGCTGCAAATAATTGTGTGTTAAAGTAATGAACAATTAATTTATAAAATTCTCGTAATGTTAATGTTGCTGCCGTTAAATAATACTTATCCACGTCACAACTAACACAAATGATGTTTCTGTAATATTATTTAAAATACAACACTGAATATAGCAACAATGAATTCTATACATAACCTAATACTTTAGCGAAATTTCAATTTTCTGATTGGAGAACTAAACCTAAGCTAAATCTAACCTAAACCTAACCTAAACCTTTTCTAATGCATATAAACGGAATATGTATCTTAACATTCAATGTCGTTCGTGATATATCTTGGAGCAGTGTAACAAATATACTACTTTTTGTAAATAATTAGTTACACACGACTGCTTCAAAATTTTCTTAGAAAGGCAGTGAAAATTTAAAGATAAAATTCTCGTTCAATATGGCGTGTATCGTGAACTGCAATTAAATACGCAACAAGATATTCACATGTTTCATCCATGGATGCAAAGGGCTTTCAAAAAATGGGTTTAAAGAGGAACGTAGAGAACGGGAACGGCGGAGGCGTATGCGATTTCTAGCTCGGCTAAAACGTTCGCAGAAAGCGGCACGTCGGAATGTCTCGTAGCCGGCTTCGTCCGGGGCATATTAATTGGCGGCCCTTTACCAACGCTCCCCCACCCCTTCCCCCTCCGCAGCTGTAGCGCGATTTTACAACTTCCTCGCGGGACAAAGCCGCGGCGGCGCTCCGTCCTCCTCCCCGTGATTTATCCGCGAGCCGCGCGTCGAATGAAAAGGAAGCAGCCTCGCGAGAGAAACGTTCTCGCGTCGCAGAGACGCGTGGAAACGACGAAAATTGCCGGGGTGTTATCGGTCGATCGACGACCGTGCGTCCAGGCCACACACGCGCGTACTATCTTAAACCTGACATCGAGATCCGTATCGAGGGAAAGACAACGGCCCCTCTGTTTACGGATTCCCCGACTCCGCTATTTCCGTCGCTTTTCCATTTCAAATTTCAAACGGGCCTTCTCCGTGGCGCTTCATGCGTCAAGCTTCTCTCCCCCTCAAGGACACCCGATACTCGCACTCCACTAAATCGATCTTCAGATAAGATGATAATAGTCTCGATGAAACGGGAGATACCGTCGAGCAAAAGCTACGAGCAAACGAGTGAAAAAGTCATCAGAATTTGGGGAATTGTAGTTGGATGTTATAGGAACGAATTTGAGCATAGATTTTCAAGATTTAAAATGGTGCCAACACTACTCTTTCTATTACTACCTTTGCCTCTTTAATTTTTAAAATTTTTTCAAGACATTTCAATTCGACTTGAAAATTGTTGTGATTAATGCCTCGTCGACAGATTACGGATGTTTATGCAGTTTTGGGAATTTTAAGGTTAGGTTAGATGTATACACAATATTTCTATTACCTTTCCCTCTTCAACTGTTAAAGTTTTGAGGACATTTTAATTTTGTCATTGTCATGGCGTTGAATTCGACTTGAAATTTGTTGTAACTAATGTCTTATCGACAGATTACAGATGTTTATGCAATTTTGGAAATTTTAAGGTTAGGTTAGACGATATATGTGTATGTGTGTGTGTATGTGAAAGTAAAAACGTACAAAGTAAAATGCTTATAATATTTATCAGATGAAACAATTTTCTATTTAGAATTAACTTTCGTTCTATTTAGAATAGAAAATTGCATGAACATTCTTGCACAGTCTTTCATAGATAAAACGACTGCTTGAAAATTTCGTAAATTCGTTAGTAAAATATTTGTAGTGTTTTAATAAAACAATTTCATTGAACAGTCTGTTATCACATTTAACCCAGTCTTGAATTTTTGAATTTCAATTTTATACTCAGTTTAGTGAACAAAAAATGATCTGTAATATTCGAAGGAGATATTTAACATAAAACTTGATCCAAGAATCATGGATTAGATACTGAATAGAATTTTTTTTTTACATTTCATGTAAACTCGGTTTCAAATCGTAGATTAAGAATAATATGTACATTGTCGAAGGAAGACACAAGTTTCTTTCGTCCGAATATTTAATTTCTTCAACTGAATGGTTGTACTTCTATATTTTTACAAGCATTTATACTTTGTGTCAGGAGACAAAGGGCAAGAGATGCAACGAACGCACCCTCGTGAATCTTACTATAGATTTTGTACTGTAAATTAGGCAATCTAATCTAATCTATTAGTTTGTTAGAGTTTGAAAAT